GGATAACTACCCTCATGTTGTAGCTTTCTGACCTCAGTGAGTTCTTATTGCTGTTTCCCAGGAAATAAGACTACTGAACATGACAGGTGATGTTCAAATTTCAAGTCGACGTCTGTAAACAAATTGGTGCAGATTAAGTCTTCAGTAAACTGTAGCTAATAATATTTTCAAGACAATTACAGATCCTGCTCTGCTTGTGATGGGGTCACGACTGATAAATCCATCGCTTAATACCCCTCACCTACTGAACATCCCACCTGAGTCCATGTGTGCCGGAGAATGCTGGGTGCTCCCTTTGTTAACCCATGGTTGACCAGGAGCTGAGCTGTACCTCAGTACCACTGCCCGCTGTGCATCATCACCCCTGGGAGAAGATCAGCGCTCAGAAGCAGAGACCGCTTCTGCACATCGCGTTAGAAAAGATCGCTACCAGCTGCCAACAGAGTGCTTATTTCATTAGTCAGAAAGGAAGGAAGACTTGGAGGAAGAATTAAATTGCGGAACCTAGAAACCTCTGCAAAGTCAGCCTTTCCCACTTTCGTGGCATCTAAGTTGGTTTTAGCTTGGGTTTGGTTTGGGTTGGGTTTGGGTTTAGTGAGACAGGGTCTCGTGTGGCCCAGGCTGGTCTTCAACTTGTACATAGGTGAAGAAGCCCTGAACACCTGATCTTCCTGCCTCCACCTCCTGAGTGCTGGCCTCACAAGGCATGCACCAGCAGTCCTGATTTATACAGTGCAGATATCGATCTCAGGGTCTCATGCATACTAGGGAAGTACACTGTCACCCGAGCTGTACCCCCATCCTTGGCCTCTGTGGCCAGGAGTAGTTAGGCCCTCTCCAGGGACCCCAAGAGTGGTACAGAAATCTCTTTCCTCCTTGACACTTTGTGTCCCACCTGTTCTGAACTCATGCAAAGGAGATGTCTGCCCCTTCCCTCAGAGAACCGGCTCCACAGCCTGGGTCTCATTACATTTTATGGGCCCTTGGAGTATCATTTACCAAGATGTAAAGTGCAAGCAGGTTGTTTGACTTTCTAGAACCAGGTCGGTGAGATAGTGTGGGGCCTTTCCTGGTGAATAAACGATCAGATGAAAGCCTTCCCAACCTCTGCTGTCCCGAGGATGGTGGAGCTGGCTGGTTTCACCAGGCCACACAGTGCTGTCTGGCCAGATCTTGGAGCTGGGCACCCTCCTTGTCTTCCTGGAGAGGAAGGGTTTGTAGGACACATATCTGTCCAAACAGGAACAGTCCCTTAAGTAGGACACCTTAGTCTTGGGTTTTATGGAGTACAATGAACATGAGCTTTGTAAATCTAAAATGGAAAACATTGTGCTCTGGCTCCAGGGCCAAGTCCAGTCTCATGCTTCAGAGTGAGCCTCAAAGCAGTTAGAGGCGTTCATTAGCAGCATAGGCGTTCTCCAGGGCCTGGGCCTGGTCCTGCGTTAGCACAGAGGCAAACAGTTCCTGTCTAGGAATCAGTGGGCCAGGTGAGGAGCAGCTCTGTGGGTGCTGAAACGACTTCCCCCACTTCCTTTGGGCTTGTGATCCTCTGTTGTTTTGAGACGGTGCTGCACAGGGGACTAGCACACTCAGTACCATGCCAGAACTCACATGCCAAAAATGTGAACTCAGTCCTGTGCCAAAAACTGATGCTGAGGTCAAGGGTACAGCTCAGGTGGTAGACTGCTTGCCTAATGTATTGAAAGCCCTGGGTTCAGTCCCCGGCACTGTGGGAAGGGGGTAGCAGATGCCCCAATCCCAGCACTTGAGAGGCAGAGCAGGAGGATCAGAAGTTCAAGGTTATTCTTAGAGACACAGGAAATTCAAGGCCAACCTGGACTACATGGATCTTTTTTTTTTAAAAAAAAAAATAGAGGTCCTGAATCAGTGATAAGCAGGTCCTGATATATGGGCATTTGCTTTCTTCCCTTTGGCTCCACTCTTTGTGCCTATGGCTATGTACAGCAATGGCCTCCGTGAGATCAGAACTCGAGGGAGCAACATCTACATCACAGCTGAGCATTTGTATCAGCCAATAGAACCTCCCACAGATGGGTGCAGGGAGAGAGATACTCTGAGGAGCTGTTGTGTACACTTTGGGAGACTTGGTAAGTCTTAGCCTATAGGGTGGGCATCAGCCTTCAGCAACGCCTTCAACTGACTGGATGGGGCCCACCGCGCTGTAGAAGCTAATACAGCCTTGTTCAAAGTCCACTAGTTTCAGTGTTAATCTCATCCAAAGACACCTTTACAGAAACATCTAGAATAATAATTTGACTGACTATCTGGGCACCACGGCCCAGCCGAGTTGACACTCAGAATGACTCATGGCAGTTTTGAAACACCTGCTAGTCTCCTACAACCTCCATCACCATTAACCACAAATGGGGGATTTTTGTCTTGACCTTAACTCTTCTTGCACTTTTAGTCTAGACTTATTACCACCACCAGAACACGAAAGCGGAGGGTACAGGGAAGATTCCCCTACGCACTGGAACACACTCTTGAATCATACTATGAGAAGTAACAAGAAATGAGAAAATTCAAACAGCACACGTCGGCAGGTTCCTAAAGAATTCAGTGTGCGATGTGGAGGCCCGCTCTACCCTCTTCTTGCCTGGAAGTCAACAACTCCTTCCTTTCAATTGCTAGAGTTGTGGCTTGTCTTCCCCACACCACCTCTCGCTCCCCTTTCCTCCAGGTAGAGGGGTTGCAACATCTGCAGACAGGTATATCTATAGGGAGTAACAGGTTAGGCAGTTAGAGCTTAAAGTCCAGCCCAAACCCTCAGCCTTTATCTCATTATCAATTTTTCTATAAGGAAACAGTCTGGGCGATGCCTCTCTTTCCCTGGGTCATGAGTTATTTCCTCATAGTTCTTTCCTAACCAGTCTCACCTTTAACATCAAGATGAAGAGCACATGTCTGAGGTGTGTATGTACCTCGGGCCTGAGCACTGTGGGTACATTTTGTTGGGTTGAGCTGAAAGATGTGGCCACCTTGAAGATCAAGGCTCTCAGAGCTTCCATGAATAGAGATTATTCTCTTGCTATGGGTGGGTATGAAGTCAGCCACAGTGGCCTTGGGGATTCTGCTGACAAATGTCAGTGTGTACAGATCATGTAGATCCTGGGACACAACACGAAGCACACACCCGCAGAAGTATCTGCCTAGCACAACTTCTCCCTTGTGTCCTGACAGGGGCAGCCTGCCCACACCCCTGTGAGGGTCTTGCTTCCCAGCTCCTGTGTAGGCATCCGCCGCAGATCATCGCTAGGCTTAAACTGGATCACTGTCTTTCTTGGTGGTTCGTAGTCTTGGCATGAATACGGAGCTGAAATAATGTCTCCAGTGGCTCAATACTTCCGTGTAAAGCTCATCTATTTCCTGCCAGTGTGTCCTTCACTAAGCGAGCTTGCCCCTGAAGCAAGGGAGTAAAGCCAATACCCAAGAGAACCCAGAGGTCAAGAAGACCCCTCTTGGCCCTGGCTGTCAGTGCTCAAGACCCAGCTGTATCTCTACTTTTCCTGGATCTCCACCAGTCAGTGTTTCCTGGGAGTCTATGAAATCAAAGTGGTTTCTAGAATTCATAAGTTAGTTAACGCTGGGTTTCTAACACCTGAGAAAGAAAGCAAGAGCAGGGGGGAGGGAAGAGGGGGGGAAGGGGCATCCTACCCACCCGGAAAGGCGGGGATACATATTAGAACGAATACATGATGAGGGAGGGGGAAGGAGGGAGGGAGGGAGGGAGGGAGACAATCTTGGAAGTTATGCTCAGATTGAGTTTGAAGAATTAAGTGAGGTCATTTGCATAGAAGTGATTTATCATCTGTAAAACACGATTCATGGATGTGACTTCTGACATCTTAAATGGGAGTAAAAGTGTCCTTCAAGACCAATGGCTTTGTCATGCTTTCTTATTTTCTTATTTTTTCAAAACAGCTTTCTGAGACAGAGTGTCATGTATCTGAATCTGGCTTCAAACTTGCTATAAAGTCAAGCATAACCTTGAACTCATGATCCTCCTGCTTCTACCCCCTGAGTGTTGGGGTTCCATCCGTGTGTCACCACCTCCAACTTTACACAGTGCTGGGCTGGGGCCGTCGTACATGCTAGGCCAGCACTCTACCAACTAAGCTACATCTCTGGTCTTATGTTTTCAACCTTTTTAATAATGCAGTATCTTTCTTTGTGATCCTGAGGTTTATATAATACAAATTAATCCTTAGATTATTGGAACCTTGAATACAAACAATGTATACATTGTATTTGTGTATGAAAATACCATAATGAAACTCATTATTTTGTGCAATGAATACTTGCTATTACAGGAAGCAAACACAACACAGGCTATATAAACAGAAGAACAGCATTTGTGAATGGTCTGCTTTTGTACAGGTCTATAATGCCTACACTCAGAGGAGTCTACAGTCAGCAAGGCAACTTCTCAGACAGCTGTACCTACATCAGGGGTCTCCACACACGCTAATTATCTCATCCTATCTTTCTGCTCTGGGCTACAATCAGCTCAGCTCAGCCCGGCACCTGACTCCATCAGGCAACTCGGAAGCCCTGATGCTGCTGGGGATTCTCCAGGCGTTTCTTCGAGGTCCGAACATTCATAGCAGAATGGATGTGTATGTGGGGCAGACTGGCAGCTAAAGTTAAAGCATCTTTAGTACTGACTACTACCTGTAGTTTACTGTATTTGTGTGCCGTTGTTTGCTCTGAGATAAGTATGGTTTTGTTTACTAGGGAAAAAAACTCAGAGCATGAGATAGAAGACAAGAAAAAAATGGGGTTTGGGGTGATGAGAAACTGGTCACTTCTGGTTAGTAATATAACTGAGTGTGGGGGGGTGCCTTGGTGTGGTCCCCAGAATAGTAATTCTGAGCAGAGAGATAAGGCTCAACACATAAAGTTCCTTGCTGCATAAACCTGGTGAGCCGAGTTCCAGCCCCAGAGCCCACATGAACGTGGAAGGAAAGAAACAACTCCACGCTGTGACACAGGCCTTTATTCCTACCCCTTGGGAGGCAGAGGCAGGTGAATCTCTGTGAGTTCAAGGCCAGCCTGGTCTACATAGTGAGTTCCAAGACAGCTGGGACTACAGGGGGACCCTGTCTCAAAAAGACACCCCCCCCAAAAAAAAGAAAAAATTCCACAAAATTGTCTTCTGATCTCTACATATGCATAATGGCACACACACACATGCACACACACACACACACACACACACACACACTGAATAAATAAATATAATTTTTTTTTAAGAATCAGTGTACTTGGATAACGCTGCATGATTTCTCAGAGCCTGGAACATCTTCATACTTTGTGAATCTCCAAGAAGTTGTTAGAGTGTAAC